ACTGGGCTAGCAAAAATGTAACTCATGTTCGTAAGGATCGAAAGATTTTACGAATAAGCCAAAAAACCCATTAACTAAATGGGACACTCCATATACAGGGTCCAGCAACAAACAGTACGCCGAGCATCGATAGAGGTCGTTTAATTAAAGAACTTAATTATTAAATATATTAAAGACGCATTAAGTACAGACCTAAACTGTGTATACATATGTAAAGTAATTCCTTTCTTGTCACTGTAGTAGTTTTGATAGTTCCAGAGAAATAAAACTAATCAATAAAAATATATACATTTACAATATATTTTAAAAAATAACTAAAAACCTACAAATTCACGCCTTGCAGTCAAAAGTCAAAACTATACCCAGTGTTTACAGTTGGTTTATACTAACTTTATCATGAATATCGTAATCGGTACATTGTACAGAGGGGTCAAAATTCAATACCGCACACTTGTTAAAATTTCTTATTTTTTAAAGGGAACGCACTGAAATGTTGACACATGACTTTTTCACCTAATAGTTTTTTGCTAGAATAGTTTTTTTCACCTAACTGTATTTTACTGTTAAGAAAACCCAAGTTAAAAAGTTATTAACAAAAAAAATTAAATTAATTTAATTATTAAATTGTTAGTTAAGTTTGTTAAAAACCAATAAATTACTGTATGTTTTAACCACCTTCATATTAAATTTTGTACACCCTGTATAGTTATAACACTTATAATCGTTAGTACAGACCACCTGTAGTAAATACCAAGCATTGTTTCTATTTCAAGCCTTGTATTTTTAATTTTTTTACAAAATGGCTGCAAAATACAATAAGATCGAGAAAAAAAAAACTGCGTCAGCGATGGCTGTGAAATGAAGATCGCTGTCATTTTATACAAGGTGTCCCAGAAATAAGTGAAAGTATTTTAAGTGGTAGTATAGTTCAAACATGAGGTTTTTTCGCAAAAAAAAATTTTGAAAATTCGAAATTTTTTGAAAAATGTTGTGTATTTTTTTTTAGTTTTTAGTTAAAAACATAATTTCTTGATAATATGGCAACACAGGTAATAGATTAAATTTACAAGAAACAAAAATCCAGAAAAGATCCAGTGGTTCTCCAAAACTTGAGCAAAAAATCATTTTTTTTTGGAAAATTTCAAAGTAAAATAACTCCGTTATTTTGGACTTATTTGAAAAATGATAAAGAGAAAATATGTTTCTTTTATCGAGATCTACCACCCCTTAAAATATTTGCACGTATTTCGGGGACACCCTGTATATAAAATTATATGGGAAATATCGTCGATGTTCATTTCCGATCATACGGTATATGTACAGAGTTTTCAGAGATATTTAGTGCGATACCTATAGGTTTCCCTATTGGAGGTACCTGAACAATCTTTGCCTGAACTGCCAGAGAGTGAAATAAAAATAAAGAAAAGGCGATCAGAATCCTAAGAAAAATGTATAACTTTCTTTTGAACTATCAAAACAAATTTGAACATAATTTCTGGTCTGCACTTAAAATTAACCGAAGACGCTCTGTTGCAGGACCCTGTATATTTTTTACTGTGGTTATCAACACTGTCTATGCCAAAGAGACAAAAAGCCTATGTCGAAATACAGGGCGACCCGGTATACTAAAAAGACCTAATATAAATTCTTGTTAGCGATTTTCACTCCAATTTTTTTTACAAACGTGGACAAACAAATGCACACATGTTGAAAATATTTTTACACATATACAGGGTGATACAAAAATATTTTTACACTTATGTAGCTTTCCCTTAATTTTATCTAATCTATAACAATTTATTACATTATTACTACTATTATATTACTTTTTGTACCATTTTTGTTTAAGATTTTACTATTAATTAGAACTTAGTTATTTTTTAGACTTTCTATCGTTGGATAATGAAGTTAAAAATTATTTTTGACGTTCAATTAGATTTGATATAGAAGCACGACATAGATTTTCAGACATTCTTAAAACTTTATTGTCCAATTTTCTAAATAAAATAAATACATATAGTTTTGAAAAAGATACTATATACTTCTATTTGAAAAACAAAATAATACTGATGTTATTTAAAATTTAAAAATTTCTATAGTAAATCTACTGAGCAAACAAAATATAAACCTTCCCATTTAAAAAATTGCAACATTAAGTGTAAAATTATATTTTAGTAGAATCACCGTGTATATCTATTAAAACAAAAGTATATCTATTAAAATATTTTGCAAGAAAAAATGAGGGAAAAAGATAACTTGATTTGAAGATTTTTCGGTATACTGGGTCACCCTGTATATAGTATATGTAAATTATCATGTAGGATTTAAAAACAAACATTTATTTAACAAAGGAAAAATAAAATATCCAACTAATAGTTGTTGGAGATTTTAAAAAGATTTTTTAGTAAATATAGGCAAGTAACAAATCATCTTAATTTAGAAAAACCCGAAAAAAAATTTAATTAAAAGTTTGATAACCACAGCAAGTAGGACACATAATTAATAACATTTATAATCAATATTAGGTGTATTCAGTCAAAATACGGAGTGTTTTATTTTTTTTTCTTTTAGCACAATTAAAAACATTAAAAATTAGAGCAACAGAACCAATAATTTTATAATTATTTAACAATTACCTTACTCTGCAAATTAAATTATTTAATTAAGTATCTGTACTGAAAAAAAAACACCTTATATTGATTATATTACATATGAAAGCAAATTGTAACATTAAGCAAAATGGGACAGTTAAGTTTTACATAAAGACAAAACAAATATTACAAACAACTGTGTAAAACAACAATTAGATGTACATGTAGCAACCATATATTTATTAACAGAATATAATTTTATATTAATTATACTGTATTTTATTATTAGATGAAAAAATAAATAAATATATATTTTTTAACTCTGTGTTTTATTGTTATTTTAATGAGGTAATTTTCATTATTTTACATCGATCCAAAAAATGGTGGTAATTTTATTCGTGTTTGTGTATTGTATTAAGAAACAAGGTAAGTAACAATAAGGCATAAATATTAAGTATCTAAAGAAAAATGCCTTAGCTAAAAAAATATCTCTGAATTGAAATAAGAATGCTTATAATATTTAGATATTATTATTATTCAATTAATAAAAAAAATAATGATTATATTTTTATCTCATTGTTGTATATTTAAGCATTTAATTTGCAAATAGCTTACAATGTCAAGAATGTCAAGACAAAGTTTTTAAGTTGAAATATCACAGACAAAATATTAAAAAAAAAACGTTATAACAAATAGATGGTGCTCCATGTACTTCTAGATATTTAATTACAGAACTTCAGGTAAGACAAATGAATATGGAATAAATGCGATAATAAATAATATTTAAAAAAATAACTTGTTAAAATAAATTAATTTCGCCCATTTTATATTATGGCGAATGCGCCAGGCGATCCTAGAATGTGTAATATATTTTTGATATAAAAAATGTATATTTATTTTAATATACAGGATGTCCCATTTTAAAAACATACATTTCATACCAATAACATTAACAAAATTGACAACTTCCATCATTTTTACACTGTTAAAATTAAAAAGCATGCGTGATAATCTTTGAAATCAGAAAAAAATGTGTTATTGAAGACACTCCTAATATACAGGGTGTTCTGTTTAAACACTAAACATGTTTATACCAATAACTGTAACAATTGAGACCTTATTATTTTTGCTAATTTAAAATTAAAACTAAAAAAAACAAAAACTTTTTATTTTTATTTATTTATCAATATCTTATCTCAAAAAATAGAAAAAATATAAATAAGTAGTATGATGTCTGTTAAAATTAGGACAAACAACAATGTTATATGTAAAAAATAAAATAAAATTGTTAAGCTCAGTTCATATTATGGCGAATGCGCTAGGCGATCTAAGAATATTATATTTAGATATAATATGAAAATACTCTGTCTCTAAAAAAATAAAAGAATGTGTTATATATTTTTGATGAAAAAAAAACTGCTATCCTATTTACTTTTAATATACAGGATGTCCCATTTTAAAAATATACATTTCATACCAATAATTTTAACAAAATCGCCAGCTTACATCATTTTTACACTGTTAAAATTAAAAAACATGTATGATAATCTTTGAAATCACAAAAAAATATGCTATTTAATACACTCCTAATATACAGGGTGTCCTATTTAAACATTAAACATGTTTATACCAATCACTGTAACAATTGAGAGCTTATGACATTTTTACTAATTTAAAATTAAAACTTGACCAGAAACTTTTTATTTATCCTATCTCAAAAAAATAGAAAAAAATATAAATAACTAGTATAATGTTTGTTTAAAATTAGAAAAAAACAGCAATGTTATTGTGATAAAATAAAATTGTTAAGTTAAGCCAGTGGCGCATCTAGAGAATGGGCCTGGGAAGAATAATGGCAATATTTAAGTAAACTAGTAGATTTGAATTAAATTTTTGCTAAAAAGTATATATTTTTGAAAAAAAAATTATATTTTATTTATAAATTTCTTTCTGGGAAAGGTAATTCTGCCCATTACCACTCTCGTATGCACGCCCCTGTCCTAGGGTAGCAAAAATAATTCGCAAAAGCAAAAAAAAATTATATGAACACAAGTATGTATTAACAAAATGAATTATTTTACTAAAAATAATAATTTCAGAACTTATAAAATATTAAAAAATATAAACTTTAAAACCAAAATAATACTTGTGTTCATGGAGCTATAGTGACGCAGCTGCGCAAGTATAACATTTATAATTTTGATAATCTGGAATAAATTTAGAAACACTTAAGAAATTATAAATAATACAACATAAAAATAATTAAACAACTACTACTATAAATAATTATACAAATTTATAAAGAATGTCTTTAATTTTATTAAAAAAAAATTACGTTACTAGTTGAAGCCTGGCGCATCCGCCACGACGCCACATCAGGAAAAAAATACTTTTTATTTTTTAATTAAATGAAAAACAAAAAATCCGGCGACGACAGTTTTTAGAAGAGCCAATTAGCTATCTTTTAGTAAGAAAAGCAACTTTCTAGAGCAAATCGTTACTTCAGTAGAGACGACACAGATAAACATTAGCATTTTATATATGTAGATAACTATTACATTGCTCAACATATTTTTCATAAAGATTAATGCATTGATTTGAATGATTTAAAATTAATCAAACATCCCTCAAACTAGAGGCTATTAGATAATAAATAGAGCATCAAAATAAATAAATATAAAGGCAATATAAACAGAGATAATGGTCCTATTCATAAAATAAAGTGTATTGCTCTTAACTAGTATTTTATATTGCAAAAGCTTAAGAAAAAAAAAAGATTTCTATCCAGATTATCAAAATTTTACAAAAAATTAACATTATAATGACGCCTGATATATTTCAATAGTTAAGAAGAGGATAAAAACCAGTAAAGAAATTTATTGAAAGAATAACAATATTAATGAAGCTAACGAACCTTGGTGAGGCATTGAGCAGTATTGAGTTTGGGTTCATGTTGAGTGAATGAGGAAAGTGAGGAGTCGGAGCAACTATTGATATCCATAGTTAAGAAAATGCGGAGATATCTAAAATATAAAATAAAAATAGTATTAAAAAAAGGAATAAAACGATCTATGTAAAAATTAAGATAAATATATTTTTATTAATGCAGTAACTATGTTTTTTAAATTAATAATTTGTATATACCCTATGAGAAACAAAAACAGCATCATAGTGGCTTTTAAAATAACAAATGATGACAATTATCTCTGCCAGGTAGACCACAATATATCATTTACAAAAAATTGGTATGAAAAATTAAAGAATTAAAAGTTAAAAAAATTAAAAGTTCATATTTTTTTAAGTTAAGGTTTTCACCTTTGAATAATAATTGGTATGTTTGAAAACTTTTTCCTTTTTTTCATTTAAATATTATTTTTGACCACTTTTTATATATCAATTTTAATAAATGACATATAGAATAGACGTTAAAAAATATACATTAAAAAAAGATATATCTATGTAAAAAGTAAAATCAATACCGTATGATCGAAAAAAAAACGGCGTCAGCGATGGCTATGGAAAGAAGATCGCTGTTATTTTATATGTAAAATTATATGGGGAATGCTATCGATCGTCATTTCCAATCCCCACTGGACGCCGTGTTTTTTCGATCATACAGTATATATTTTTATTAGCAAGCATATTGATTTATGAGGCCTAAAAAGTATAAATATGTAAACGTATTCAAAAAGTACGTCCTTCCTTAAATTAATAATTTGTATATACTCTGAGATAAAAAAAATCAGCATCACAGTGACCTTTGGAATGACAAATAATAACAATTTCTACCAGGCAGACCACAATATTGACAAAAAATTGACATAAAAACTTATTAAGAATTAAAGGATAAAAAATAAAAAAGCAAAGTTCATATTTTTAAAAGAAAGCCTTTGAATAATTAAAAGGGTATGTTTGAAAAATTTTATTTTGTTACATTTAAATATTACTTTTGACAAATTTTTATATCAATTTTTAATAAATGACATATAGGAATAGACGTTGGCCTCATAGACTTGTGCAGCTTGAATATTATGAAAACTTATTATAATTTTCAAGCTTGTCGATGAAATTGAGTAAGAAAAAAAAAAGAGATAAATAACTTACCAGTGATGAAGGACTACGGCCACACTAACAGCTATTAAGTACAGTTCTAAATGGTCTTTCTGAGTCTTTTTCTGCAAGTTTCATTCCATTTAAAGCTTTTTGCTGTCCACTATAATACTTGCAGATAGTACGGCTTGCGGATTTTTAACAGCAATTGTCCCATCGTATACCTAAAATTTCAAAAAAAATATTATATAAATTTTTACTATACCAATTGTTGAAGATTTCTGAAAACAAGATTAATAAAAACAAAACAAAAAAGATTAATCAAAATTATATTTATTGCGTTTATTCTAGTGGGAACTTTAATATATTGTCAAGGTGTGTGTGAATAGTTCTGTAGTTTCAAACCAAAGAGTTTTGAATAGCAAATGTTGACAATTTGGCGAAGGATTTTTTTAAATAGTTGTTTTTTAATTGTGTGTTTATTTATTTATTTAGCATACAGTCTAACAGGCATACAGCCTACCTGTTTTTTTATTAGACATATAGTAAACACAGTAACAATTGATAAGCTAAGATAACAACTATGAATTACATATTACAGTCACACTTACATAATAGAAAATACAGAATAAAGTTAAGGAATCTAAGAGAGTTTAAAGAATAATCTAAAAATGAAGTTAAAAAATTTAAACACAAAATTATACAAAGAATTAAGTAGAATATATTACAGTTAAGGGTTGGAACCTTTGGTGTTACACAGCAAAATAAAAACACTATTGACAAATTATAATCACTAACAACACTGACAGTTTATAATCATCTGCTGATGATGCTAACATGGTTAGCGAAACGCGCGTCCAGTGTAAAAGTAAAAGTGTTTTGGTGTATTGTGGTGATTTAGCGTTTTTATTTTATAGAATATATTAGGAAAGTGACAAAAATTAAAAAATAAAGCCGTCTTACGATCTCCGAGCGGTACTGCAAAAGTGTCATATGAAAAATGTTGTAATCAGTATAAATTGTGTGTATACAGTGAGAAAATAAATCCGTTAAGTATTTTATCGTGAGTTTAAATCATAGAAAATAACCTAACGAATTTTAAAAATTTTCAAGCTGTCCAATAAAATTTTATAAGATAGATAAATAACTTACCATTGATGAAGAACTGGATCCACTCTAACAGCGATTAAGTAACAACAGTTCAAAATGGGTTTCCTTGATTTCTTCTGAACAAGTTTCATTCCATTTAAATCTCTTTTATGACCACCATACATATTATTTGCAGCTAGTATGTCTTATCGGTTTCTAATAGCAATTGTCCTTTCGTATACCTAAATAAAAAAATATTCAGGTAATTTTTTATAATAGCAATTTTTAAAGTTCATCAGAAAACAGACAATAACATAAATCATCTTAATATTTGGAACTATGTAAAAATAACAAATAAATAATACACATTTTTGAATATTAATTGGAATAAGTTATAAAGAGTTATATAAAATTAAAAGGAAGATTTTTATTGATAACTTCAGAAATAATAGAAAAATTGTAAATTTCCTTGATATGAAAAAGTAATACATTATTATGACTTATTAATGATCAAAAAAAAATAAATATCTAATTTACTAGATATATATAAAAAGCAAAACTAATATAAGGCCTTAGATTAACAATTATAAGGCTAATATTTAGCATGGTGGTAACTTTAATAATTAAAAAAATTAAAGGCTATGCAACCAGTAATACACTCTTAGCATTGTTCAATTATTTTTTTTATTTCTTGAGCTAGAACATTCATTAAAAAATAAATTATAGGGTTTCCTGTCAAGTTTTAATACATTTTATTGTTATAAATATGACACACTGCCATTTGACACCCAGTTAAGTTATTGGTAAAAAATATATATATTTTTAAATAATTAAGATACCCTCGAGGATACCCTGTAAATTAAAAAAAAATAGATAAAAATAATATACGAAAAAAAAAACACATTAAAACTTGAGTTAAAACCTTCTAATTTCTTTTTTTTTCAACGAAAATTCTAGCTTCCAAAATAAAAAAGTTAAAACCTGTAAAAATTTAGGGCAAAATAAAATGCCAACACTGTAAAAACTGCAGAGTATGAACATTCTGCAAAATTTAATCATTTTACAAAATTTTCAAGCTTATCAATGCCATTTTATGACAATATATACAGGGTATTTCATGTAACTAGTTCATTAAAAGTGTTTTAAGATGAAATTTAGTCTCAAATTATCGTCAGTAAATTAAACTAGTTATAGACTTAGAAAAATATATACCCTAAAAATTTTTTAATGAACCTCTGTATGAAAATCCCTGTATATAAAATGATCAAAATAACTTACCATTATTAAAAGGCAACAGATGTCGAGTCCAATCCTGGTTCTATTAACTTTACATCCTGAAACGACTGACATTTTTCTGAATCCAATTAAAAATTTTCCTTCAAAGCTGCAACTTGTTCGTTGAGAGTTGTGACAGCAGCTGTCAAAACGTCCATTACCATCAATTTGTTTAGCTCACTAAAAGTACAAAAAATAAATAAGTGATTTTTTATGACGTCAGTTTGTTCATACTAAACTTATCATAATTTTCAACCTTGTCAAAGAAATTTAATAAAAAAAATAGAAATAAATAACTTACCATTGATGAAGAACTGCATCCACTCTAACAGCTATTACGTATACAGTCTAAAATGGTTTTCCTTTATTTTTCCTGCAAGTTTCATTCCATTTAAAGTTTTTTGATGTCTACCATAATATATTATCTGCAACTAGTACTACTTGTTGATTTCCAGAAGCAATTGTCCTGTTGTATACCTAAAATTCCAAAAAAAATATTGGGTAATTTTTTATGGTCTGGAATTTTAAAGATTTTTAAAAACATAAAAAATATACTAGTATTTAAAACTATGTAAAATCATAAATAATAGTTATGTTTTATACCAATTTAAATAAGTCATATTAAACAAACAATAAAAATCTTAGATAGACTTAAAATTAGTTAATTTTCTCTAATAAAAAATGATTATAATTTTTATATTAATATTTGCAGTTTTAATGATCGAAAAAAATATAAATAAGGTATCTGCTTTACTAAAAATATTAATAAAAAAATAAAACTTATATTTACGAAGTTTATTATTTTATTACGTTTATCTTAGTGGAAACTTTAATAATTATTTAAAAGAGATATAAAAACAATGCATTTTTTTCAAGATCGCTGATATACAACCAGTAATACAGTGTCTGTATTTTATTTTGTCCTGCTTTTAACAGTCTTTTATTATTGTTTTAGTTTACAAAAGAAAACAGAAATAGAGCCTGTTAGTATTTGAACAAAAAGCTTGAATATGATGGAAAATTTAAAAAAATTTCAGCATTTTCAAGCTTTCCAATGAAATTTTATAATAAGTTGAGAGACAACTTACCATTATTCAAAGGCAACAGGAGTTGAAGTCAATCCAGTAAATGGCATTTTTCTGCGTCCATTAAAGATTTTCCATGAAAACTGGAACTTGGATTAATAAAAGCAGCTGCCAAAACGTCCATTAACACCAATTTGTATGGATAGCTCACTAAAAATACAAAAAAATTAATTAAATAAAGTAAAGAGTATTAAAATTAATAAAGTAATATTTTATAGCAGTTTCTCATCTTAGAATATTTTTTTTTAATATTTTAACTAGATATTAAAAAAAATACAAATGCAATTCTTTAAAATATTATCAAATTTTCATAGATTTTACAAAAAGAAAATACTTATACTAGATAAAATTGTTTGATGCAAATATTTGTATCATAAGTATATTTTGAGATTGAAAAAATATATTAATATTCTTACAATCTCAAACTTATTTTTATTTATAAGCCTACAATTTTGCAGTTAAATACAAAATTGGAGACATTATTATGCATTGCAAATGCCTAATAAAAAAAAGAAAAGATAAATAACTTACATTTTTATAGCATAATGGTAATGGAGGCCAATTAATCCAATTGTGGACAAGTTTTTCACTATCATTTCAAACTTATGTACAGTAGTAACTCATTTGCAGATTTGTAACAGCAACTGTTAACGCCCAGTACATCACTCGAACAAATATCTAAAAATTAAAAAAAAAAAAAATATTTAAATTATTATTTTAATTTGTATACATTTAAAAATTAAAATAAACAGGAAAAATTGAAGTATCAAATTAGATTAAACTGAATAAAAAAATATAATAATTTTCCAATTAAATATTGCATATATTATGCATAGCGAATGTTGACAAATTGGTGAAGGATTTTTAAATAGTTAATTGTTGAGAAAATAAATTCGTCAAGTATTTTATCGTGAGTTTAAATTAGTGGACCCACACAATCCGTAACAATACCTATTAAAATATTTGTATATAAATTCAAAATATTAAACTTGTAAATAATGAATACTTATCATAATTTTCAAGTATTCCATTAACTTTAAAAAAAATATATATAATTTGTTAAAACTTACTATTTTTGAAAGATATCTGTGTTGTGGAAGCCAATTTAAGGTCCTGGTACTACCGCAGCCTAAACTGGTCTTTTATGAGCTTTTTCCCAGTTTAAATTATATCAAAACTTCTTTGGTGTTCCTAATAATTCACCCAAGTTGTTATAACAGCTGCCATTTTACATTTCCACCAATAGATATGCTTGTATAATAACAATTAAATGAAACTTGATGTCCAAGATACCAATAACATCTATAAAAAAAATAAAAGTTGTGATAAGTATTTATTTTTTGTAACTAGATGAAAAAAATTACCTCAATACAGTTGCTCCAAATTTCATTCAAAAAACTTCCTTTACAGCGAACAAAATCCTCCTCCTTTCCTCAAACATCTTCTATCTCCTTTCCTTCTATTTCCCAGCAATCCTCTTCCATCTTCTTTGTCCTCTTCTATTTTCCAAGCCTCACCAATTCTTATTCAACTACTTATATAACTAACTTATACAAATTTCAGTCGTCTTACAAACATTTTTTAAAAGGGGGATATAATGCTACAACAAAGGACTACGCTAGCGCACCTACCTAAAAAAAGAAAAACACTTTTTTAGTCAAAGAAAATGACAAATATAAAGTTATATAAATTTACCTGATGGCATCTCGAAGATGGCCCTAATCCTGCTGTTGACCCCAAAATATTCATTCCAAAGCAGTTTAGTAATAAAAAGATTTATGCAGGAACAAACTGAATTTAATTTTAGTAACAAAAATAAATGATTGATATAATACTTTATTTCTCATTATAATGTAAAATTATATTCTTTACTAATTTGCCTTTCATTAAAAATCACTATTAAAAAAATTAAATAATATTATCAATTTTAAAATAAGACGAAAAATAGTTATTTCCAAATATACTATTAGAACAATATGCTACCTTATTTTGTTTCTTTAGAGTTATTTTTTTATTATCTATTTATTATTGCTAAAAAAATTATTAAAGCCTTGTAAAGAGTAAGAAAAAATGTAAAAATATATGTAAAAAATTGCATATTAAAAAATGAGTACTTAATGCAACATTCTATAAATGTAGAGAACCTAAAATTACTGCTTTGGAACCACGACGCGAACCGAAATTTTGAAGTTCTCCAAGCCATACTGTATCACCTGTAAGAGAAAAGAAATAATATTAGAATATTTCTAACAAATACATATGCTAGAAGAAACAAAAAACAAGCTATAGACAACAAAAAAAAACAATATAAAAATATAAAACCTCACCATCATATCTTGCCTAAGTTCGTTTTCAGTCCCACCATAATAATTACACGGCGAAAAAAAACAGTGTGGTCTCACTGCTATGGGGCACATCGAGTGCCTCCAACTCCATGGACTTCGGTCGATCCTCTAGAGTTGACATTAAACACGTTTTCCAGGTATTCGACGGTGCCTGGAACAATCCGAAATTTTTTGGGACTGATCACATGCAGCATGTAGATAGAATTTCTGACTTCTACAATCTTGTTTTTTAAAATCGCGCAGCGAACCCGGGTTGTCCTAAAAAAATTAAAAAAAAATAGTTAAATTAGAATTCAAATTTATATCTACTATAAGTTTTAAAAAAGTTGCTCTAATTACTATACAAGTTAATCTAGTTTAAATTAAATTGAAGCTCATGTATGTTGTAACAAAAAAATTAAAATACACAACACTTATATAAAAAGAATTTTGACTGCTACATGGTGGGATAAAAAAGTTATTTGATAGAGAGCATAGTAAAAGCTTACAATTTAATGTAATATAAAAAAATTAGACTTACTTTTAACAGGTTTAAGTTAGGCCTGGTTATGCTCGCCTCCTCCCGACATTTTCTGCCTTCAAAATTCGACGCGGGGGCAGACCAAGAGAAAAAACAAAAAATGTTTCCACGACCCGCCTGCGAGTGTGTGCTGGTTGCCTTCCTTATGCAGATTCGACCCATTGGTCGACGATTAAGCCTCACCAGTCAGTTCCCATCCCAATTAAGCCGCTTCGTCTGGGGTCACCCTCGTCACCCGTCGGACGGACATCCACCGGGACCCCCTACAGGCGGACCCCCCTCATCATCTTCAATGTGTCCGATATCCCGCCCCCTGCCCCTTCGAGGGTCACGGAATACGTACACGAAGAAATCTCGGAGCTTGGGTGCCAGGTTGTATCCGGCCGAAGCCTCTAGCATTAGAACACCTAGCTCGTAAATCAGAGGGTGGTGACTCCCTTGGGTACCTCTGCATGCTACACAGGTCATCGATGGCCGAACATCAGGGTTAGGGGGTGACCCAAGAAGTCTCCTCTCTTGGGGAAGGCCGCGCCGCGCTCTGGAGTCATCTAATCCGGGTATCCACACCGACAAAAACACTGATAACCAACCGCATCAGCTAACGAAATTCACTAACGTTGAATTAGGAAATTTTATTAACCAACACAGAGAGCTAGCAATGCTCGTGTGAGTGTGGACGAAGTGTGTGGTGTTGTGGTACTATTAATAACGCGCCTAAAAAAATAAAAAATATTGGAATACCTATAAAAATATTATCGAACACCTATAAAAAATATTACGACAATATATATATAGGTATATTTATTTTAAATGTAAAAAAAGATGCTCCATTTCTACCTCAGCAATATTTTATAAGATTTTTCCTTGATTATTATACCAAAAATGTCAAAAATATGAAAATATAAAGATGTTATATGACACAGAAAAAAAGGATATAAATTTGATGAATATGGTCAAAATCCAAAGAATTTTTCCATGATGTAACACATAAAAAATTAAAAATGCACAAGGAGTTTTTAGAGTTGGAACATATTATTTAGAGCTAAAAGTTAAATCTACAGTGTTTCAAATAAATAAAAAATATTAAAATTATATTTTTTTTTAACAATGAGACATCCTATATATTTTGTTTCATTTTTAGTTTCTACTATGAAGACACAAAAAAACATAGGATCAAAATTTACCTCAAAATCATACTTAGTGTTTTCCAAATATTTTAATTTTTATAAAAATTCAGTAAAAATTGATTTATTTCTTTAATGCAAATTTACAGCTGATACTGAATTAGCAAAAATCATTAGTCGACATTAATACTATTTTTTAAGATGTAATATTACATAACGCGCTTTAAAAGAAAAATATTTTAAAGTACATAAATAGGTATGTAGGATTCTTAAATCAAAAAATACGTAATAAAATTCCTAATGAACCTATAGCTATAAATACAAAAAACCTACTCATTCAAAATATTAGGTATTAAAATGCGCAAATGCGTATCTTATATTTTTAAAAACTAAAGATATCTCCAAGTATGCCCTATAAAAAGAAATTTACATCAAAAAAAGCAATTTGAAAAAATCAAGACATCGAATTCCAACAGGCGGCCATTTTATTTAAACATTCCTTCACCGAAAAAATTAAACAAAAAATCAAAGATACATTACGCAATTTACCAAAAATGTAGTACTATTTTACCCTTATATAACACGCAGTATAGCAAGTACCGAAAATATATAGTTTTACATACTTATTTATTAATCTATACGTATATTATTTAAACAATATTCTCAAAAATTAATAACTTAATGGGGAACATGGAGAAGAAGGCAGCCATGATGGATATTGCGAAATCCAAAAATTTTAAACTAGAATATCTCAAAAAATACATAAAATTACGTGTACTCACTTTTTCAGGAGGCTAAGCAGGGCACTAGTAACAGATTACGCATAAATTGTGTACACTAAATGCACTTTTTCATCAGAAAATTTAAAAAATCGATGCAACCGACGCGAGGACGTGCGGATCCTTCGATTACAAACGACAAAAGGAGGATCGGCGTTGCCAGATTGAAGTCATTCGTAAAATTTAAGCGGCTCATAAAATTAATTTATTTATTACTAATGAAATTGTTCATAGGAAAATATTCTTGTAAGTTACGCTTAATTTTGTGGTCAAAAGTTATTATTTACTCAATACGTTCCACTCTGGTTCCACTGAAATCGTTTTTTTACGTAAGGTAAAATATTTATTGTCCTAAATAAGAAACAAATAAGTAATTATAAACATAAACACACAAAAATCAAGAAATAAACATAACATGAAGCTGTTTAAATATATTTTTAATGCCATAAATACATCGAAACCAAGAATAAAGCCTATAATGTTAGTACGTAATTACGAGAAGAAATAAAAGAAACTTCGACCAAACGAACATTACTGGTACTTGTTTTATTAAAAATATACATAAGCGACCTTTACTATAGTGCTAGGAATAAATTTAAACTAATATAATTTCACAATAATCACATAGAAAAAAAGATTTTGGACATTTTTTAACAATCCGGCAACATCGAGCGAGAAGAAAATTCAAAACCTCCACGCGACCGAAACTGACCAATCACGATCGAGCATTTTTTGCTCTTGGATGCCTGGATTTCAACTTTTTTTAATAAACATGGATGGTTTTTTATTATAATTTCAGTAGAATATGCGTCTTAAATTATTTAAATGATTTGTCTTTATTTGTATTTATTCCCTATAGTATAAAATATCATACAGAACTTATTTTATATTAAAATTCTCTGGTACGCACATAATTAGATGAACTATAAAATCATGCATTTCTTTAATATTTTAATAAATTATTAAGGAACAAGTGTTTTTATTCAATAAATATCCCTTAGTTTAATAAGAAACTAATTCTATATAGTTAAATAGAGAAATATGAGCTAAATTATATAAAAAAATAACTTTATAAGTCTTTAACTTGACTCAACGTTGACAGCTCTTACCGGATATGTCTGTTCAGCTTTTGGCGCTACAATTTTTTAATTTGAAATTTAATTCAGCTGAAAAATCCTTTATTTACAAGAAAAAATATATTAATAAGTACAAATTAGTATAAAAAACATTTATTACTTAGGACAACTATATATTACAATACTTTTGTCTTCTGAAACTGATAAAATTTTCGAATTATCCGGACTGAATTTTACACCCCAAACCTGCAATGTTTTTTTAGATAAAATATCATTATTAAAAAACAAATCTTATTTAAAAATGGTTATATCCCTAAAAACTTTTAGTTTTTTTAGTAGAATATCATATTTATAATTTACCTGATCAGTATGGGAACTAAAGGTGTGAATACACTGTCGGCTTTGAACTTCCCATACTTTAACTGTTTTGTCTGAACTGCCAGACACAAAATACTTGCCATCTGGTGAAAATGCCACACTTAAAACCCAAGAGGCATGACCAGACATCGTTCCGATTACATGTGTCTGTTTTCTGTCAAAAAAATTGGATAAAAACAAGTTACAAAGACTACTTTAACTAATTTTTAACTTACACATCATATAATTTCATATGACCATCGTCAGAGGCTGTTAATAATAGTTGACTGTCCGGAGAAAAACACAGAGACCTTATTGGCATAGCATGACTCTCTAGAGTGTGCCATAATTTGTTAGCAGCAACGTCAAAAATATTAATAAAACCATCTATAGCACCACTAGCTATGTATTTTCCATCGGGACTCTAAAAAAATAAATAAACATATTAATTATAACATAAAAAGTAATGGTTTACTAAAAAGTTCACTCACGTAGGCAATGCTCAGAGTAAATTTTCCTCTGGTGTCAAAAGACTGTTCTATGGCTGCGGTTTCAACGCTATACTGAGTGATTTTGCCCGAGTGGCTTCCAGAAATGATGTGTTTATCGTCCGGACTGAACGCAACCGTCCAGAGATCTACAGGTCCCACATCAATGTTTGCAATTTTTTCTCCTTTTTCTAGGTCCCATACTCTCATCGATGAATCTAATGAGCTCGAGCAACACACTAAAAGCAATAATATTAAACATAATTTGATCTGTGTATAGACCTAAGTATTTACATTTTCCATTGTGGCTCATGGCAACTGATACCACACCTAATGAATGCCCTTCTAGGTTGTATTTAAGATCCAATTTATCGTCGTGCAACTCCCAGACCTTGACTAAATCATCTAGGGCTCCTGTTATTATATAGTCCGTTGGAGGTTCGTCGGACATGATGGAATCCCTATAAAAAAACAAAACTGAATCAAAGTTCTGATTCTGTAAGAGAAAATAACGATATCGGACCTGGATTTCTCATCTTCCCCGCCCTCCACTTCGGGATCCTTGTCTTTTTTCTTTTTTTCCGGAATGTATTGGCCCCAGAAACAACTCCAAATTCCTTCTTCGTGGGCATTTTCTTTCTTGTACAATACCGAATACTAAAATTTACGAGTACGATTTCATTAAATAGTATAGATATTTCGCTGTACAATAATAACTTACCATTTTATTTTTAAAAGAGATTTTTGTTTATTAATCTTAGACGGCCATCTAAAAAAATAGGGTTAGTTTCAGTCACAAAAAATTCTTCTTGATTAAATTTAGGCCTGAACTTCGTCATCATATATAAAGTGTATTCAAGGAATATATGATCTAGGACAATATCAATGTTAGAGCCTGAAAAATTTTCAAGAAGAAGAAATGACGTTTAGTTTTTAGGTTATATTTTTGTTTGAGTTTTGGAAAAAAATTAAATAGAAAATTAAAATATTAAGGATTAATTTAAGTAAAAATGTCTGCAACGTTTAAAAATGCCAGGAAAAAAGCGTCTCAGGAACAGCTCAGAAAACTAATGAAAGAACACCAGAAGGGTCTGAAAGAAGTTAAAAAAATTGAGTCGCCTTTGGCAAAATATCCTTTTTATTCAAATTTATTAAGATTTGTAGTGTTTTTTACTATAATTTTGTCTGCTTAATTTCCTTAATACAGTGTTTACATATAACGATTTAGGACAACTTACCTGTATTTTGTGCAAATCAGTAGTTCGATCCGAAGCAGTATGGACGGTACACATAAACGCAAAACAGCACAAACAAAACGTCGAAATGGCGAAGAAATTAAAAGAAAAAACTAATAATTTTACCACTCCATTGAAAAGGCCTTTAACACCTCCATTACCAGAAGTTCCAGAGAAAAAAATTAAAGGTTTGAGTATTTTTCACTTATAATTAGCTTTATTTACTCGAGTCATTTTTATGGTTTAATTACAGGAATTTTAAAAAATGCTATCACACCAGTCACCACAAAAGACAGTGGTACATCGATACAAACAAGTAAAGAAAATGGGAATGGAATACCTAGTGATTTCTTTGATAATACCAGTAAAACAACTACAAAAAATCCTGTTTTTTCTCGTCCTATAAAATCTAATACAATATCAGGGAATAGTACGGAAGAACCTGAACATATGGAAGAAGAAATTCCTGAGGAATTGCCTGAGGGATTCTTTGATGACCCAAAGTTAGATGCAAAGGTATATAAAAATTATTACTTTTGCTATTTTTCTACGTACAATTATATTGTCTAGGCCAGACATATCGAATATAAAGATCCAGCAGAAGAAGAATGGGACAGATTTATGAAAGAAATCAAAGAGGCTGACAATAAAAGTGCAGCAATCATTGCAGAAGATCAAGAAGAAGCAACGACAGAAAGACAAATCGATGAAATAGATGAACAGTTAAAGAAATTGAACAGGTAAAATAACTTAAATTAATAAAAAATGTTTAAAAATATTGCATAATTTTTTTTGCAGAGTTCTAGCTTTAGAAAAACAGAAAGATGAGATTGTCACAGTGCTGAACGATGTTAAAAATGAGAATATCGATGATGATGATGATGCCGATGTTGATTTCGATGAGTTTCTTGATTGGAGGGCTAAAAAGTCGTTTAAGTAGTTGTTTAGTTTTATTTTGTATTATACATGTTTCTATTAAAATAAATTTTAAGTATTTTTAAGTGTATTTTTGATTTGGGACAATTCAAGTAAATTTTCCAGTAGTTTTTAAGTATTTAGAAAAGGTGAACTACTGATTAATAATTAATAAAAAATAGTCTAATTAAAAAAAGTAAAAAATATTGTTGACAATTTGGCGGGGGTTATTATTTTTAACTTGATTATTTTTTGTGAACTTAAAAATAAATTTTAATATTTTTGAAAGTTAAAATACATCTATAAGTTTCGATACAAAAAAGTTTAGGCAAAGATAATATTAGTTAAGTGCCCTAAAGTAATGTCTACACATAAAGTTTTACTTGTCAGTTATAACGCACGGACTTCTAGAGGACTGAAGACTGAAGTGTATAGATATACTTTTAACTGTCTGGTAAGAAGGATTAAAGACTAGCACACACTTGAGGTTTTACCTGCGGTTTTACAGAATTGTTTAAAGATCGTGGACACAGCTTGGTGAAAGTAAAAAAGAAACAGCATGGAATTATACTGCAAAGTTGTTTGTTTATGGTATATATTATACATTTCACTTGTAAACAATGTAAACATGCAAAGTTAAATGTGAAAATAGTATAGTTTGGTAATAATCATTAAATATCTTTAAACAATTTTGTAACTTAATTATATTAAATTACATTATTGTGTGGAACTAGGCAAAAATGTTACATTTTTAAATCGCTTACTAAAGATGCTGTAATATATCCACATTATTTTTTGTAAATTTACTTATATTTCCTTCTCTATCAGACACAAAAAAATAAATGGAGAAAAGAGCATCTATCTATACAGTTTGTCCCCGGATTGTCTTTACAAGAGGAAATACCTTTTTATTATTGACATTTTGAGAAAAATACATTTTTCTGTGCATTTTTCATACGAATTTTTGCTTGTTCTAATTCCCATAGGTACAGTTTGAGAGAAAATTAAAAAAAACATGGAAATATGATTGAATCTTGTTTCTATGGTAATATAATTTTGTTTTCATTAATTAATAGATTGATATTAATAGAGTTTTATCCGATTTATTTTTTTCCAACATATTCTCATGTTTTTTTTTTAATTTTCTCGAAAACGGTATGGAAATTTGGAAAAGTATAAACGGGATTAACCGTTTTAGAACAAGCAAAATCTACATATATATAAAATTCTAATGTTTATCTGTGTCGTCTCTACTGAAGTAACGACTTGCTCTAGAGAGTTGCTTTTTTTACTAAAAGATAGCTAATTGGCTCTTCTAAAAACTGTCGTCGCCGGATTTTTTGTTTATCATTTAATTAAAAAAAAAAAAGTTTTTTTTATGATGTCGTGGCGGATGCGCCAGGCTTCAACTAGTTTTTAATAAAAAAGTTTGTCCTCTTGTAAAGATAATCCGGAAACATATACTGTATAGGGCGAGTCTCAAATTTTAAATAAGTACAAATATTGTAAAGGATAGGTAAGAATTCATCAAAAATTATAAAAACATATTTTTCGAAAAAAAAAAATTAAAGATTTCTTTTTAATTTTCCGTTAATAAACAAAAGATCTTCATAATATGGTAACACGACAGATACTAGATAAAATTTAGGACGAATGGAAAACAGAAACACTGGATCTCAAAAAATCTATATTTTTAATATTCAAAATAAAATAACTTGGTTATTTTCGACTTATTTGAAAAACTCTAAAGAGAAAATATGTTTCTTTTATCGATATCTACCAGCCCTGAAAATATCTGCACTTATTGAAGAGCAGAGAATAAATCCAATTTATCGATTGATTATATATTGCGCTGAAGGCACGTCGAACGAATTTATAGGACGATATCGGTAGGAACAGGAGAGCAGAAGGGCATCGAGGTTTCCAATATTGGTCGATGCTTTTACCCAGTCTGGACGTTTTTTTTCGAGGGTCATCAGTATTAACGAGGAAATTTAGGGTCTCTTATAGAGCGACGTTATTTCAAAATGGCGTCAAAAGGGACAAAAATAGAGTTGAAGTAAATGGAGTGTCTTCCAAAAAACTTATAGATGAAAATTGATTATTTTAAAATGGGACATAAATATTAATTGAAGTTTTCGGTAATTTCGGATGAAATGGTATATTTCGTTTTATTAGGAGTAAAAATGACACTTTTTGTGGCGAGGCTGTAGCTTTGACACCGACATACAGCCGAGGCGCAAACAGTCATTTTTACTCGGAATAGAACATGGTATTTTTTTTCAAGCGTCACAAATAATTATTTAAACAATTTCAAACGTTCCAAATAATATAAGAAGATTTAAAAGTCATACCTCGTATGTAATTATATATCGAGAAACTATGGTTACGCTCGTTGAATTTGACACTTTATATGTCAGTTTAATAATATATTTTCGTACCTTTATGCCTAGGTCATGCCTAGGCGTTAAAATGACTTTTTTATATTGTCAATGACGTCGCAAAAATTAATACTTTTTTGACGTTTGAAAAAAAAAGAAGATATTTGCATAGTACAATATGATTGAATAAAAACGGCGTCAGCGATGGCTATGAAATGAAGATCGCTGTCATTTTATATGTAAAATTGTATGGGGAATGTCATCGACCGTCATTTCCAAGATGATCATGCGGTATAATCATTAATATCTTACAGAAGAAACTGCATAGCATGTATACAGTATGTCCCGAAATGTTCTTTACAAAAGAAAACACTTCTTTATTGACATTTTCAGAAAACTAAATTCTTCATAAAATTTTTTGCTTGTTCTAAAAGTTCTAAAAAATCAACAGGCGCTTCTGTGGCAATATTATTTATTACTATTATTACCCTTTTCGTAGCATTGAACTAAACAAATTTTGTGCTTCTTTAACATTTTAAAACAGCAAAAAATGAAAACAAAATTATATTACCATGGAAACGGCCTTTTGATTTATAGGACTTATTTTTAGAAAATTCAAACATATTTTCATGTTTTTTTTTAATTTTCTCTAAAACGGTATGGAAATTTCGAAAAGTAAAACGGGATTAACCATTTTAGAACAAGCAAAAATTTTAATAAAGAATGCATTTTTCCCAAAATCAAAAAAGGAATAAAAAAGATTTGTGACATACTGTATAAAACACTCAGTAAATTATAGTAAACATTACTAAACATTTTTATGTATTACCAGTTCTCTATTTTGATCTATTTTTACACGAACCTTATTTTTTAAAAGCCAAACATATCAAAAATGTAACTTTAGAGGAAGTAAATATAATTAAATCATCAAAATATAATAATAATATGTTAAATTAATAATTTTACATTGAGATAACAATAATTTAAATAAGTATTGGACAATTTTTATGTGGTTTACCCAGTGAGAAAACATTCAAAGAAATGTCAACGCGTTGAGAATACCCTGAAACAACATTGGTAAATCCAAATTATTCATATGCCTTAAATTATAATTATAAAAGCCAACAACGATCACAGGCAGAGCTTTATTTAAATTAATCTCACAAACATGTCGAAAATCTTAGCTCTTCTAACGATTAGTTACGTTTTTTTCCAAATAAAATGTGTCAATTCGGCCCAACACACGTACAATTTGGGTAGAAATAGTGCAGTTGTTAATACAGGTGTGCATAAGTGTGCTAATGGAAGAAACAGTGAAGTTACTTTTTCGGTGGACGCTACTTTGCATGCCAAGAGCACTACTAGAACGAATTTTGGAAACGGGAAAAAGTATGTATTAACAAGCGACTTACAGGGTGACCCAGTGTTTCTAAAAAAATCTATATTATTTTTGGCATAGACTATACATAATTACTATACAATACAGTCATTTTAATACAAATTTTGTGTAAGTGTGTGAAATTATTTATTAATTTTTAATTTATTACTTTTTCAACATTTCAAAATACACTTTCTCAAACATATCCTTCAAATTAATAGCTGCTATACCGGGTGGTCCGAACTGTATTCCGGAAACTTTGGCAGCATATTCTACAGGTAAAAATAAGTAAAAAAGTTCGTGTAAATGTATGTCCTAAAATGCCTAGTTTCGGAGATACAGGGTGTTGAAGTTTTATTTTTTATATTTGGATTTTTTCCAAATAATTTCTGAAGTATCATCAATATTTGGATGAAAATTGGTGTCTGGGAGTTTTTTGACATGAGAAATTTGATTTTGATGTCAATATGACTCCTGCCTGTAGAGGGCACCATCTACATATTTTTTAACTAGTTTGAAGAGTAATAACTTTTCATCCGTACCTGTATGAAACTAGTGAGGTAAAAAAGTATACATTTACGACGTTTTTTACGGAAAAAGGGTCTCTTGGTAAAAACCGCTACCGAATAATGGTTTTCGAGATATTTGGAATCGAAATTATCAATACCTGTCATCATTGGCATAAATTAAACATGTTAACTAAATAATTATTAGACTGAAATCATAAATTTGAAATGTTTGTGTGCCAAAAGTTCAACAGAAACTGTACAACTCGTATCATCATTTTTTCGAAGAAAAATTTATAATTTAAAAAAATAAAATTTTTTAGTCAATAATGACATATGTATTGACTATTTCCTTTCTAAATATTTTGAGAACAGTTGCACGTAGCTTTTTTATCAAGAGACATTTTTTACGTAAAAAATCACGGAATTATATATTTTTTCACTTAGTAGTTTTATACACTTACGGACGAAAAGTTATTACTCTCCAAAACAGTTAAAACCAAAGGTTAAAACATAATATGTAGGTGGTGCCCCCTACAAATAGGAGTCATATTGACATCAAAATCAAATTTCTCATGTCAAAAAACTCCCAGACACCAATTTTCATCCAAATTTTGACGTTATTCCATAAATTATTTGGAAAAAATCGAAATAAAAATGAAACCTCTACACCCTGTATCTCCGAAACTCAGCATTTTAGAACATACATTTATACGAACTTTATTTACTTATTTTTATCAGCAGAATATGCTGCCAAAGTTTCCGGAATCCAGTACGGACCACCCTGTATAGTAAGAGGTTTTACTCCAAATATGTGTACATAGAGCACACATTTTTTTTTAATTAGGATATTGTAAAATTTTATTTTGGTTTTGAAATATTCCGAGAAAAAAAAAATGTTAAAAACTTAAAAAGAAAGTAATTAATATTAAAATAAATAAGTAATAATATACAGTACGTCCACGGATTGTCTTTAAAAAAAACTCTTATAAAGAATGCATTTTTCTCAAAATATTGTTACGTTTTTCGTCGGTTCCGTGTAGATAGAAAGTCACAATTTATTTAAACACTATTTATTTAACACTAATGAACAAAAATAATAACGATAAAAGACTTATAGAACTATTTACAAACGATTTATAACTAAGAATTTATTTTGAATTTTAGCGCGTCAACTGTATATTTATAACTACCCTCTCTAGGCCACTGCCGCCGGCTTTTATACCGACAGGTAAAAGAAATCTAGAATAGTCCAAAGATCGTTAGGCGCATAGAGAAGGTTTTCGAATGTTCTCGTATGTACGCGTCCATTCTAGTGGGTCTCGATTCTTCTCGAACGAATGAGTCATTGCGGTGTCTATGCGATGTTAAGGTCACCCGAGGGCGGGCCATATTGTGAGGTTAGGTCGAGTCCACACCGGCTCGCAACACTGCCCCCTTCTTAGGCACATACTCGTCCCGAGATGTATACGGTGAATGAAGGTATTTGCAAAGCTGGCCCCTGGTACATTGCGAAGTCTGGTAGAAATAGCAGTCTACAGTTTTCTCTCCCGATCTCAGCTTTGGGTTGTAGCAGCAAACGAGGATCTCGATTCCCGTAAATCTGAACAAGACTTCAATCATGTTCCGGATTGTACGCCAACTCAAACCATCGAGTCCACACGCCAGCTTCGGAATGGCTAATCGTGCAATGTTGTTGTTTAGCAGGGCTTCTCTCAGTTCAATCAGGGTCTTCCATAGATTGAGATAAGTCGGCTTACTCGGGGACCATTCCTTGGTGACCAGGTAGAAGATGTGCCTTGCTTGACCATGTGCATTGTCGGTTAGCCTCAAGACGCTTCCAACCTCTGGATCCTGTCGGCGTAGTTCTCCGACACGCCCAAACTTCTCATTGAACGTCGCAGCGATTCCTCTGGACATCCGCAAATCTCGAGCCACACAATGAGCGAGCGAATAATCAGGAGGCACGGAAAAGAGGTCTCGTTGATCTTCTTTGGTTACACCATAGCGAGCCTTCTCACTGCTGTTGTATCGGGCCATGAAATCGTCAAAGGACATCTCCGAATCAGGGGGATCAAAGCTGCAGGTTCTCACGGTCCCAGCACGATCTTCTATTTCGCCTTGGTAGGGGCTCAAACGGTTGAAATGGACTACCCTCGGTTTTCCTTTTGGCAATTTTCTGATACGGTATACGACGTCATTAATTCTATCCATGACTTCGTATGGCCCTTCCCACGAGGATTGTAGCTTCGGAGATAACCCACGACGTCTCTGCGGGTTATATAGCCACACCAACTTCCCTGGTTGGTATCCTCCATGCTCAGCTTGAATGTCGTAGTGTTCCTTCATTCGGTCACTAGCACTTTGAATATTTAGGCGGACTCTCTGATGAATGTCGTCCATCCTTTGACGTAGTGTGTGGACATAATCTTCTCCGGCGACTTCTTCTCCCGGTCGGCAACCAAATTTCAGATCACAGGGTAGGCGCACTTCCCGTCCCATAACGATGCTGGCTGGAGTTTGCCCTGTAGATTCTTGGACGGATGAACGGTAGGCCAACAGGAACAGGTGAAGAAATTTGTCCCAGTCTCTTTGGTGGTCAGAGACTACTTTGGCCAGATAACGGTTGATAGTTCTGTTCATGCGTTCAACCATCCCATCGGATTGTGGATGTAGAGCAGTCGTCCTGGTCTTGCGGATGTTCAGGACTTCACAGACGCCTTGGAACAGATTGGACTCAAAGTTTCTTCCCTGATCTGAATGAAGCTCCATGGGAACACCAAACCTGCAGATCCATTCTTTAACAAGGGCATCAGCAATCGTGGACGCTTCTTGATTTGGCAACGCGTAGGCCTCGACCCATTTGCTGAAGTAATCCATTACTACCACAATGTATTTGTTGCCATCGTTCGTCTCCGGGAAAGGACCAGCCACGTCGATCGCTATTCGTTCGAAGGGACTACCAACATTGTACTGGCGCATAGGGGCTTTACCACGCTTTTGTGGCCCATTAATGGCTGCGCAAATGTCACATTTCTTACACCAGGCCCTCACATCTTCTTTGCAGTTCACCCAGTAGAACCGTTCACGCAGCTTGCCAAGTGTCTTGGTAACACCAAGATGTCCTCCGCTGGTTCCATTGTGAACTTCCTCCAAGACTTCTGGGACCCTCTTCTTTGGAATGACGATCTGCCTTCTCTCTCTCTTGTCCCCCGGTCTCTCGATCACACGGCGAAGTAGTCCGTTATCTATTACCAAGGAATTCCACTGGGCCCAGTACGACTTTACGTTCGGCGAATATCTGCAAACTTCTTCCCACGTTGGTCTTTGGCCTGTGTTTTTCCAGTTAATTACTAAACCTAATTCTGGGTCACTGGTTTGGTCATTTGCAAGATCTTCGGGTTGCCAACTATCATTAACCACAGTTGTTCTTAGGAGTTTCACTTCTTTCTCTTCTGCTCGGGAACAATGCTTACAGTCCTTAGCGCAAGGTCTTCTGGAAAGTGCGTCGGCATTTCGATGGATTGCCCCAGCTCGATGTTCTGTGTCGAAGTCAAATTCTTGTAATCGTTCAATCCATCTAGCTACCTGCCCTTCAGGATTCTTAAATTGCAACAGCCATTTCAAAGCAGCATGGTCTGTTCTTAACAAGAACTTTCTTCCATAGAGATACTTGTAGAAGTGTTCCACTGCTTTAACTACTGCTAGTAATTCTCGTCTGGTTACACAGTAGTTCCTTTCCGGTTTTGACAAGGTCTTACTAAAATAACCAATTACTTTTTCTTGACCATCCTGGATCTGAGACAGAACAGCGCCTAACGCAACATTGCTAGCGTCGGTATCCAATATAAAGTTTCCGTTGCCAAGAGGGTAGCTAAGTATGGGCGCACTAGTCAGGGCCTTCTTCAATTTTCGGAATGCCTCGTCAGAATCTGAGTCCCAAGAGAAACGCCTCTCGCCTTCGGTAAGTCTGGTCAATGGTTTTGCGATGGTGGCAAAACCCTGTACATAGCGGCGATAATATGTGCATAGTCCCAAAAGCTTCGTAGTTCATGTTTATCTTTAGGTATCGGCCACTCTTCCACTGTCTTGGTCTTCTGTGGATCTACCGCAACTCCTTGGGAGGAGACTACATGGCCCAAGTAGTGTACCTTTTCTTGACACAGATGACATTTCTTGGGGCTAAGTTTCAAACCAGAGCTCCCTAGTCGCTTGAAAACTTCTTCCAAATTCTTCAGATGATCGTCAAAGGATTTCCCAACCACTATGATGTCATCCAGGTACACTAAACAGGTAGTCCAGGATAGTCCCTTTAACACAGACTCCATTAGTCTCTCAAAGGTAGCTGGCGCGTTGCACAATCCAAAAGGCATGACGGTAAATTGCCACAGTCCGGAGCCCACCGAGAACGCTGTCTTCTCTCTGTCTTTCGGCGCCATGTCGACTTGCCAATATCCACTCTTCAGATCTAACGTAGAGAATATCGTTGACCCCGCCAATGTGTCTAGAGTATCGTCTATCCTCGGCAGGGGATAGCTATCCTTCTTGTAACATTATTGAGCTGCCGATAATCAACACAGAACCTGGTGGTACCGTCTTTCTTCTTTACTAGTACTACCGGCGATGTCCACGGGCTGTTAGATGGTTCGATGACACCCTCTTCTTTCATTTCTCGAAGGATTTTGTCAGCTTCTTCACGTTTGGAGCGGAAGTCTTCTCGGATTTTGTTTGATTGGTCGTGCATCTCCGGTGTCAATTTTATGTTGTACTAAATTGGTACGACCTCTATCTCCTGCTTCTCCTTTATCAAACACGTCTTGATACTTGATTATTAGGTTTCAATTTTCTACTATTTTCGGGAGATAATCCTTTAACGTTTACTAACTCCTTCACCATTTTGTCCGGAATTTTTGAAGTCGAAACTTTGGAGGCTTCCACGCTTCGAATGACTGAGGAGACCGAACAACAGTACCCTAAGAGGGTTCCCTTCTTCAAGGATACAGAATAATAATTCGTGTTCATTACTCTCACCGGTACAGTTTTCTTCGCTCGTAGCAGGGCTTTTCCAACAGCGATCCCTCGTCCTATTTCGCTGTCATGGTTCCTTGGCTCCAACAGAATAATACTCCCATTATTCATTTTACCTTCTAGGCAACCATCCAAAAATATCTCACAGCGCTCAGGGATCGAAACATCTTCTGCTACCACCACGCGAAGCGTCTCCTCACATTTTCGATGCAGAACCACTTCTTCTTCATTTATTTTCAAAATTCCTTGTTTGAGGTTTAGCTCAAAACCTCTAGTGGTCATGATGTCCATTCCGAGAATAAGTTCATCTTCGATGTCTGCTACTAACACTCGATGATTAAAACAGGTGCTTCCGATAACAAAATTAAGATCTACCTCTCCATGGATGAGAGCGGAGCTTCCTGTAGCTGTACGTAGTCGCCATTGTGTTGTTTTAATCCTTTTGATGTTTTAAGGATATCCGGCCTGATGATCGTTTTGGTCGCACCTGTATCCAAAAGCATGGTTCGTAACTCTCCATCCACGAAACCATCCACAAAAATGCTGTTGAACTTGTGTTGTAGTGATGCGACTTGAGCAGTTTTCGTTGGAACCTGTTGGGTACTGCTCGATATGTGTCCCTTTGATTCGACACTTGGCGAAACCGTGTCCACGTCCTTTTCTTTACAGTGACTTCTTACGTGTCCTGCCTGGCCGCAATTCCAGCAACAAGTCGGTCCTTTCTTGCCCATGTACTCCTCCATGACTTTCCGCACAATGCTTTCCACGGATTCGTCGGAACATTGGTTGACCGCCCGTACTCTCACTAGAGACCGAGAACTTTGTTTCGCGGCCTCAAATTCTAGGGCACGTGCTAAAGCATCCACCAAGTGCGTTGGGTGGGCTAGGAGAAGTGCTTGTCTTGTCTCGTTATCACGTAAGCCGTCGGAGAATGCCTGTACTGCCAACCGCTCCATAACATTCTCTGGCGTAGCAGGGTACGCAAGGCGAACGAGGCGGGCTACGTCGGCTTCAAACTCCTGCAGAGACTCATTTGACTTTTGAATGCGATTTTTTAGCTGGGAATGATAGACATGTTCCAAATGAGCTTGGCCGTACCTCATTTCTAAATGTCGTACCAGTTGCTGATAATCTCCCTGTTCCGATGGTGACAATGTCTGCAGGATATCAGTCGCATCTCGCAGTGCGACAGTCAAAGCGGTAGCCTTTTCAGCGATTGTCCATCCGTTCGCTCTCGCAGCGGCCTCAAACTGGCAAAAATAATTGGCCCAAGCGGTTTTTCCGTCAAACTGTGGAGGCTTAATAACTGACTTTGAGATATACTTATTTTCGACTAGTTTCGGTGCCTCCGATGTTTCTTGACATTTTGGTGAATTTGCCTTTGCTATTTCTTGTTTTAAAATTTCGATTTTTCTATTTACATCTTCCTCAATCTCTGTTATTTTATTGTTAAAACTTTCTTCCAAAATTACTATTTTATTATTAAAGCTGGCCTGTATATCTTTAGAATTTTCGATGATCTTATCTTCTAATGTATTGATTAAATCCTGGGAATTTTCCATAATTTTATCACTGATTTTCTCTCTAAATTAAATTCCAAGTCAATTATTTTACTATTCAAATTGTTCAAGTTGTCGTCTAATTTTTGTAGGCACGAGTCAAGGTCACCTTCCAACTCAAAGCAAAATGTGTCAGGATCCTCACCTTCCTCCACCAAAACGTCTCTTAGTCTAGCTTGCAAAATGCTTTTCTTTCCATCTGTTTCGCATTCCCTCTCTTCCAGAACGCTTTTTAATTCCGACACTTTCAAGTCTTTCAACAATTTTTTCGGAGCCATTGTCTGTCTTTTTATTTTACTAGTCTATCACACACGCCACACTTGACACCAATTGTTACGTTTTTCGTCGGTTCCGTGTAGATAGAAAGTCACAATTTATTTAAACACTATTTATTTAACACTAATGAACAAAAATAATAACGATAAAAGACTTATAGAACTATTTACAAACGATTTATAACTAAGAATTTATTTTGAATTTTAGCGCGTCAACTGTATATTTATAACTACCCTCTCTAGGCCACTGCCGCCGGCTTTTATACCGACAGGTAAAAGAAATCTAGAATAGTCCAAAGATCGTTAGGCGCATAGAGAAGGTTTTCGAATGTTCTCGTATGTACGCGTCCATTCTAGTGGGTCTCGATTCTTCTCGAACGAATGAGTCATTGCGGTGTCTATGCGATGTTAAGGTCATCCGAGGGCGGGCCATATTGTGAGGTTAGGTCGAGTCCACACCGGCTCGCAACAATATTAGTAATAAAAAAGTTTGTCTTCTTGTAAAGACAATCCTGGGTCATACTGCAGAATAAAAATTAAACTATTTTATAAAATTTAAAAAATATATGTTAAACTTACATGTTATATCATTCTCTTCAGCGTGAACAATCGGATGCGTGAACTGAATTCACAAAGATCCGACCACAAAGGACATATTTTGGCGTCGGTTTTCGGAGGACCAGCACAAATATGGAACTTGGCACCGCAAGCAGACAACCTCAACAGGAAATATCGGTGTAGGACGAGCATTTTGAACGTTTGGTGAGTAGTTTTGAATAATTGATATTGTTTTACTTACCAAACCACTCAAAAACCTACAAGAAACTGAAAAATAAACAAATAAAACGTATAAACAATACAAATAACCACAGACATCGAAGAAAGACTAACGAAGTTTTGCATGGCCTACATCAACATTTTAAAAATGGCTAATATAAAAATTATGATTTTTGTCGTTGTTTTTTAAAATAAATCTACAGTATGTCCCTGGATTGTCTTTTTTATTATTTATTAATATTTTGAGAAAAATACATTCTTCATAAAAAAATTTGCTTGTTCTAGAACGGGACATTTTGCAACAAGCAAAAATTTTAATGAAGAATGCATTTTTCTTAAAATGTCAAGAAAAAAATCCTCTAGTAAAAACAATCTGGGGACATACTGTATACTGCACCTGTAGGGTAAAATTATACGTACCTGAAATGCCTCGTAAATCTATGAAAATTCCACTCTTTCGAAAAAAAAACGGTGTCAATTAGTCGCTGTAATTTTGTGCTTGCTTTTTTATAACTGGGACCACTGTATTAGATGACCCTGTATACAGGATGTGCCAAAATACAGTTGGCCACAAAATGGGACTTTTTTATAATTTGGAGCTTTTGAAAAAAAATCATGCAGCATTTTTTCAGCACTTACTCAACAACAAAAAAAAATTTTTTTGAGATATAAAAACTATTTTTATTCCTATCTGCAGAAATTCTTGATAAACTTTGTTTCAATCACTCAAATAAAATTTCCCTTTTCTGATAAACTTTTTGGCACACCCCGTAAATGAAAATTATAGATCATAAATGGTGAAAAGGGGGTTGAATAAAATAAAACAAATATTTTAAACAAAAAACCTAACTATTTATTATAAACTGTATGGTATATGAAATTAAACAATTTTGTATCAAAGCAAATATCAATCTAATTCTTCTCTTACAATAATTAGTTTCATCATATTAACAATCATATATTAAAAAAAAATCGTCCACTAAATTTACAAATATTGATAAATGTTTCAATATACTTGATAGGAACATAAACCTTTGATGGTTTTTGGCAAAAGAAAAACACCAAATAAAAAATGGCAAAAGAATTTTGTTGTTTTATGTCAATTCCTTTGAAATATATTTTACACAGAACTAAACTACCTATTTACAAAGAAATATTTTACATATCCAGTTAATTTACAATTTATTTAGGATGGATAATTCGGAACTATAGATATAGTTATTCCAGTGAAATAATACACGATATTGGTGATAGTTGGTTATTATTTTAATATAGGTTCTGCCGGAATCGTGTATTTTTTCACAGGAAAGACTATATCAATATTTTTTTAAATGGCTTGAAATCCAACGATGAATGCGTGATGGCTTCTCCGAATAATTGTGTTGAATTCTAAATAAAATTTTATTCAATATTAGTCTTGGTATGCTCAAAATCTCAAAAACTATTTTGATCAAATTAAAGATATTATTAATTAATTTTTAAGAACGAAATTTCATATCAACATAAGCGCAAAAAATAGTATCGGATTCTATTTATAATTAGTTAAAAAATGTACAGGTCTGTGCGGAAAGTTCTACGAGAAAACTAAATATATATAGGGAGTCTTAGGAAAAAATACATGGGTCTAAAAATTTAAACAAAAATTTATTGTTTTAAATATGTTTTCGAAGTAAAATAACTTTTTTGGACTTAAGACTCACTGTGCATTTATTTAAGATACTCACCCTGTATATATTTTCATTTAAAAAAAATGTTACTAACCTTTTAAAATGGAACAAAATTCGTTGGTATGAAAAGTTGGTAACTGGAAGACTGCAACATGATGGATAGCAACAATTGAACGGCAACACACAGGCGTCTAGACCATGAACTGCAACCTCACTGGTGACTGCGACACGATGGGGGACCAAGGCAACTCGACTGATCGGTATCTTCAAACAGCAAGGAAAATGGCGAATTTCTAAAATGAAAACAAATATACCATTAGCAAATTATTGGTACAAATAATAGAATAACTTCCCTTCAAAAGCTAACAAAAGGATAGCTGTGTGTTCTGATGATGAATTCAGTGGATCCATGGTATTGACAGTGAATCCAGGTGGTCATATGTAATGATCGACATCTTGCATCATAGGGCATGAGTAACCTGATGGACGGCAACATACAGCAACATATTGGACGGCAACACACAGGCGTCTAGACCATGAACTGCAACCTCACTGGTGACTGCGACACGATGGGGGACCAAGGCAACTCGACTGATCGGTATCTTCAAACAGCAAGAAAAATGGCGAATTCCTAAACTGAAAACAAATATACCATTAGCAAATTATTGGTACAAATAATAGAATAACTTCCCTTCAAAAGCTAACAAAAGGATAGTTGTGTGTTCTGATGATGAATTCAGTGGATCCATGGTATTGACAGTGAATCCAGGTGGTCATCTGTAATGACTGGCATCTTGCATCATAGGGTATGAATCTGAAAAAAAATAGCGGAAAGACAACGCACGACGATGCTGCAGAAAGACTGTAACCTGATGGACGGCAACACACAGCAACATATTGGAAGGCAACACACAAGCGTCTAGACCATGAACTGCAACCTCACTGGTGACTGCGACACGATGGGGGACCAAGGCAACTCGACTGATCGGTATCTTCAAACAGCAAGGAAAATGGCGAATTCCTAAAATGAAAACAAATATACCATTAGCAAATTCTTGGTACAAATAATAGAATAACTTCCCTTCCAAAGCTGACAAAAGGATAGTTGTGTGTTCTGATGATGAATTCAGTGGATCCGTGGTATTGACAGTGAATCCAGGTAGTCACCTGTAATGACCGACATCTTGCATCATACACGACGCACGACGATGCTATAGGCCACGACCGTCTGCAGCTAGCCTACGGAACACTAATCTCGATCGACGTGGATAGCACTCTTCGCCACTTTTCCTGCGTGGTATCCACACTTTGATGGGCTACGCGATGTCACACGAACGCGGAACGACGACGCACGACGATGCTATAGGCCACGACCGCCTGCAGCTAGCCTACGGAACACTAATCTCGATCGACGTGGATAGCCCTCTTCGCCACTTTTCCTGCGTGGTATCCACACTTTGATGGGCTACGTGCTGTCACACGAACACGGACTGACGGCGCACGACGATGCTGCAGAAAGACTGCAACATGATGGACAGCATCACACAGGCATCTAGACGATGAACTGCAACCTCACTGGTGACTGCGACACGATGGGGGACCAAGGCAACTCGACTGATCGGTATCTTCATACAGCAAGGATGGCGAATTCCTAAATGACACCAAATATACCATTAGCAAATTATTGGTACAAATAGAATAACTTTCTTACAAAAAGCAACAACAAGAGGATAATTTTGTGTTCTAATGATGAATACAGTGGATCCGTGATATTGACAGTGAATCCAGGTAGTCATCTGTAATGACCGATATCTCGCACAATAGGGCATGAATCTGAAAAAAGAGAAAATAGCGGAACGACGACGCACAACGATGCTGCAGACTCCGATCGCCTGCAGCCAGCCTACGGCACACTAATCTCGATCGACGTGGATAGCCCTCTTCGCCACTTTTCCTGCGTGGTATCCACACTTTGATGGGCTACGCGATGTCAAGATACGGAACGCGGTACGACGACGCACGACGATGCTATAGGCCACGACCGCCTGCAGCTAGCCTACGGAACACTAATCTCGATCGACGTGGATAGCCCTCTTCGCCACTTTTCCTGCGTGGTATCCACACTTTGATGGGCTACGTGCTGTCACACGAACACGGACTGACGGCGCACGACGATGCTGCAGAAAGACTGCAACATGATGGACAGCAACACACAGGCATCTAGACGATGAACTGCAACCTCACTGGTGACTGCGACACGATGGGGGACCAAGGCAACTCGACTGATCGGTATCTTCATACAGCAAGGATGGCGAATTCCTAAAATGACACCAAATATACCATTAGCAAATTATTGGTACAAATAGAATAACTTTCTTACAAAAGCTAACAAGAGGATAATTTTGTGTTCTAATGATGAATACAGTGGATCCGTGATATTGACAGTGAATCCAGGTAGTCATCTGTAATGACCGATATCTCGCACAATAGGGCATGAATCTGAAAAAAAAGAGAAAAATAGCGGAACGACGACGCACAACGATGCTGCAGACTCCGATCGCCTGCAGCTAGCCTACGGCACACTAATCTCGATCGACGTGGATAGCCCTCTTCGCCACTTTTCCTGCGTGGTATCCACACTTTGATGGGCTACGCGATGTCACACGAACGCGGTACGACGACGCACGACGATGCTATAGGCCACGACCGCCGGCAGCTAGCCTACGAAACACTAATCTCGATCGACGTGGAGAGCCCCACTTCACCACTTTTCCTGCGTGGTATCCACACTTTGATGGGCTACGCGATGTCACACGAACGCGGTACGACGACGCACGACAATGCTATAGGCCACGACCGCCGGCAGCTAGCCTACGAAACACTAATCTCGATCGACGTGGAGAGCCCCACTTCACCACTTTTCCTGCGTGGTATCCACACTTTGATGGGCTACGTGCTGTCACACGAACACGGACTGACGGCGCACGACGATGCTGCAGAAAGACTGCAACACGATGGACAGCAACACACAGGCATCTAGACGATGAACTGCAACCTCACTGGTGACTGCGACACGATGGGGGACCAAGGCAACTCGACTGATCGGTATCTTCATACAGCAAGAAAAATGGCGAATTCCTAAACTGAAAACAAATATACCATTAGCAAATTATTGGTACAAATAGAATAACTTTCTTACAAAAGCTAACAAGAGGATAATTTTGTGTTCTAATGATGAATACAGTGGATCCGTGATATTGACAGTGAATCCAGGTAGTCATCTGTAATGACCGATATCTCGCACAATAGGGCATGAAT